AGAATCTGGTGTCATAAAGCCGCTCTCCGAACGGACTGTTTCATTGGCTGAGGAAACAATAGATAATCATCCAAGCAATCAACGGCTCTATCCCTGAAAACAAAGGTGGCTTTCATGACGAGAGAGCAACGGCTAGTATACAAATTATTGTTTTAATCATAGTGGAGGATTTATGCCCTCTTAGCATTTTTGTTTTTTTAATCATCTCTTGGAATTCACAGTTCCATATCAGAGCAGATGCCCCCTGAAAAGCCTTTCCTCCTGGCTAAAAATTTTTGATAAATTCTTAAAGATGATCCAGTCACCAAAAAAGCACATCAGTTTCATCTCATAAATATTCACGCTATGATAAGTCATAGAATAAATTATAACCAATTTGCATTATGCTCTGTTTAATTGGTTCTCCATCTTATTCTAAACACTTTAAAGGAGGATGGCCAAGTTAATTGGGCTTCGGCGAAGGACAATTTTTTTATTTCGGAAACTGAACAATAGTTAGAGACTGAAAGGAAGTTGACTAAAGGACTAAACCTGGCGCAAAGGATGCCAAGTTGTCCGATTGCACGAGAAGGGGTGGGGAGACAAGTGCAGGACTCTTCAGCAGTGCATTTCGTTAGCATGGGACAGAGGCTGAAAATTTTGTGCGAGTGCGAGTGTTTGTCAAATACTGAAAAAAACCCGCGTGCAAGAAACTTCATATATTTTTTTTCAAGTCTGGCAAAAACGGGTATATTGCCTTTTGGGGTAGTTATTGCCAATTTTGTCTAAGTATGTTCGTAATTAGGTTTTCAATTTCTATGAAGGAGACTACAAGAAAAATATTATAAACTTGGGCTTGGTCCTTTATTATATATACATTTTTTATTCACAACTGTATTATGATTGTAATTGTAATTGTAATTTGTTTACCCCCGAAGCACTCGGTAACACTGAGGGACGCGAACGAGGATGTGGACAAAGTCTGTATCGAGGTACAAAAAACTTCTAACGACGCAGGTGGAAAACCTACACGCGGTTTCTCACATCATTCAACACAAAACTTTTAGTCTGCTTTTAGTGCTTTGAACTACGCCCAAGACTTTGGAAATAGAGTTATGGAATCGCTTAAAAGAACTACGAATTCAAATAGGCTACATTCACGAAAAGTCGAATTGTTCCATGTCAAAAACTTTCATGCCTTTGTTAGCACTCTCAACTATGTCTCTCCCATCAGTGCAAACAATGACTAAAGGAGATGAAGTTGGGATGGGGGTGGACTGGATAGAGAACTTTCCACGTGTTTGCCAACAAACTATAAGAAGCGAATCAACTCAATAAGCGGGATCTTTACCACCAGCATCACAGGACTATGTCATGCTATTTGCTATCTTTTTAAAAAGCTAAAACGTTTTTTGCATCAATTGAATTCCAAAAATAATGGTCCAGTTTTGTTATTTAAGACTATTTTGGCACTGATATTGTTTCCCGTCGTCTGTTACAGTGGATTGCAAGGATTGAAAATGGACTGAAACTTAGGCCACAGGGGCGGATCTAGGGGGAGGGTGCAGGGGGTGCGCACCCCCCCCCCCCCCCCCCCCCCCCCTGCGCCACCGATACTCACCCTCTCTCACACCGCGGCTGTCTCGCAGTCAAAGAGCGGACCCAGGGGGGGGTGTGTGGGGGGGGGGCGGGGGGGGCGCCCCCCCCCCCCCCCCCCCTGAGATGACCTGCGGTTTTCTCATACAACTGGTATTCAAAAAAACTATGTGGTTTATTGGTGTTGAAGTAGAGCAAGAGACGAGTGCCCCCCCTCCTAAAAAAAATCCTGGATCCGCCCCTGGGCCAACAACAAGATACGGAACACATGCAGTAATTTCAACCAGATAAGTCAGACGTGACTGATTCAGATAATGAAAGTGACGAAGAAGGTGACTTTGAAGTAGTTTAATGGCAGGAAATGCATGACCAGTTCGGGAAGATCAGTACGAGATCATCACTGGTGCGTCTTGATCTATGAGACTAGTGTCGTATTGATGGTTATACGACTTGGATCTAATTTGTACTAACGGCAAAACTCGTTAAGTAGGAGTCTTTTAAGACTATTAAAATAGCTATCGTTTACCCATTTTTGCCACTTCGGTTAGATAATTATGTTCTTTTCCATATTTTCCGTTACTTATCAATTGTACGAGTAGCGGAGTTTATGTGAATTCATGTAAATTTATACCTTGATTTAAGTAGGGCCTACCCCCAAAAGTGATTGACGTGCTGAAGTAAAGAAAAATTCGGGTGTTATGACAGACATCTGAAGATGACTACCGCACAGGCTGTCGAAACGTCTGTAACTGTCAACAACAGTCCTATTCAGGACTACGTTCACCCGGAAGATCAAACTCAACCTACTTTTGAAATGACTCCTGGGTTCAAACCTTTCAAAGAAACTGATTACTTTGTGCATCGAAAATTGCAGCGATGTATAAAGTCAAGCGTGACCTTTTAGAAGGATTTACATATTTTCTAGAATATGTTTCTCGCAAAGTTATTGAAATTTGCAGTGCTCAAAGGTCATCGATTTCATTCCGGCTATGGATTCACGGCTCAACTCAGTCTGGTAGCATTAACCAGAAACGGAGCTGTTGAGAATAATTAATAATATTTTCATTTCATCAAAATTTTAGTCTATGTTAGTGGAATAGAAATTGGTCATATGATGACTGCCGCTTAAAAGGTAGCTAAGCATTGTCCCCTAATTTGATAATGGCGTGGGCTTGTAAATCAGGGTTTTCCGATTTAGTGGAAATCCCTTTTGTTCGAAAATACGTTTTCAGTCATTGTCAAAAGTTCCATATAGTTCAACGCCGCAGCTATGACGCTTGCTCGAAAAAAGCCGGCATGTGGATTTCTTTCAAAAAGTCGAAAGCATTTTATTAAAAGATAAGCGTAATATGTACATTTTATGTAAAATCATTGGACGTCCGAGCCAATTCAACAAGTTGGAAAAATATAAAGTTTAACATCACTGGCATGCTGATTTCAACAACAAAAAAAGAGCAAAACCGTGAGAGGCATGTTCATATATGCTATCATCTCATTAAAAACCGTTTGTCCATAACGCCCGGGTCGATCGTGCGAGACAACTGAAACAACTGATCATGAGGTGCTTACTTTGGGTTGCTTTCATCGTTCTGCGTATCAGCTGTGCACCTTTATTGTTTCCATTTCTAATAAATAGGAAAACACTAATTAGTGTTTTAGGATCTTTTAACATTTTTATTTCATCAAAATTTTAGTCTATGAGAGTGGAATTTAAATTGGCCATATGTTAATAGTAAGATTTTGGTTATTATAATAAATGCAGCCTCATTGCCTACTTGAAAAATTATGCTCGGCGAAACACAGTGTTTGTAGAACAATTAAACTTTGAACGGTCATCGTACAGATTCTAGTGTCCCAATCAGTCAGTGTCTGCAATCTGGATCGTCTTGGCTGCTGCTATCGCGCGTATCTATAATTACTAAAAGAAAATAATCGAAATATAGCACTGAAAACCTCACGCTGAGGGGAAACGAAAAACAGTTCGAGCTAGCGAGGAAATCGAGTTATCGCGGTAAATTTCAGTGAATTGTGATCAAGGGATAGGAAATTTTGTTCGAGTTAGCGGGGAATTCGGGGGGACTTCGGGGGAAATTCAAGTTATCCGAATTCGAGTTATCGATGTTCTACTGTAAGTACTAACAACGGTTTTAAAAAGTAGGTTTAGAGTTAATGAACAGTTTTGCTGTAAGTTTCGGAGATCCGGTGCTGGGACGTACCTTAGCGCAAACGGCATCCAGACTGCAGCCAGAATTCGCTAAAACTATAGATTCCGTTGTTATCAGCCGGCAACCAAAATGCGAAACCCAAAAACCTTTTTTAATTCGGCTTTTAAGCAATATGCAAGGAAAACCTGTTTTGGTTACGTAAGACGGGTTTGGACGGTCGGGGGGTCACTATAGGCAATTTAGGGTAGGTATGTGCCGAAAAGGCTCTTAAATCCTGCCTCTATTTAAGAGAAATAATACAATAAAATAACCGCTATTAAAAAAACTCAGTACAGTATGTTTCTCACTTCTGTTTAAAACTGCTATAACGTTCCTTCCTTAGTCGCAAGAGTTCTGAAATTTGGCCAGCAGAATATCTATGTAGTCTATAATATGGCGAAAAGAAGCTTTATTTTTTTACTTTCTTATCTTCCTGAAATAAATATTTTTGCAAAATGAAAATCAGGGTTGCAAACGAAAGAGTAAGAAAAATTAGCCTTTCATAAATTTCTCTGCTGAGTTAATGTTCAAATAAAATTATTGTGAGCAGTTTCAAACCACTAGAATTAATAAGTTTCAGCCGATCAGAGGATGTCAGCAGCGCACGGCGTTAGAATAATTATCTTCAACATACCAAATAAATTGCCTCTTTTAAAATAATAGAACAGTTAACGACTTAAAGAGAGACTCCTTAAAGGGCTAGCAGTCGATTCCAAACTGTAACATCATTGAACAGAATAAGGAATCTTGCGATTTTAGGATGTTGTTTGCAAAAACAATATTCGGTTAGAAAAGTGATCAATATTCTCCCGCTGACGTGCATGATCAACTGCGGGACCCTTCTGCGTACGTGTTGGGATCGCCGGATCGAGATCGGCCGATTTAAGCCGTCGAAATTATGTTCGGAATTGAACAGGTCTGGAACATTTTGCCAGGAGAACGATATTAACCCTTTAAACTCTAAGATCAAAATTTGAATTCTCATGTTGCCCCTATTCATTTCCTACAGAAGTAGTGGGGAGAAGTTGATAAAATATCACGAAAATTCATCTTGTGTGATCATGTCGGTAATTCTCATGACCACTCTGTTTTACAAATCATTGATATTACAAGGAAAAAATTGATGCTGATTACTCTTAGGGCTTAAAGGGTTAAACGACTTCATTGGTATCGGGATCCTTCTAAAGGACAACTACAAAAGCGAACGCAAAATAGAAACTACTTTATTGCACTTTATTAAAAAAAATTTCATTCAATATTGAGTCTACATATTAACTACAGAGATAAGCCGTAGATAAAGCATTTAAAGTACGCGTAAGAATAAGAAGAAATACAAACGTCAAAATAACATTTAAAGATGTGCTTTGTACAAATTTGTAGATTTATCACAAAGAAGAAGCCCGGCAATTCATTTTCCACAGAGGCTGCTGTTTTAAGATTTATCATTGAGGCATTCTAGAGCGGTCATTCTGTGAGAATAAGACATACAGACATAATACATATCTGCCTGCCACCCTAGGCTCTCCCAAGGCTTAATGGGATCGAGCACGGGGTAAACGAGAAACACGAGAGGGGGATGAGAACGGGAACGAGAGAACAGAGAACGAGGCAGAAAAATATTAAAATAATAAAATAATCCAAAAAAATATCTCTGAAATAATTTTTTTTTATGCTCGACTTTAAATTCTGTATAATTGACTGCATTTTTAATTTATTCTGTAATCGGACTTCCTTAATTGAGTTTCTTAGGAGAAAGCACTAACACTGAAGCACGACCTCCATATGTCTCGGATTAATGATGGCTGGGGTATGGTACATTGCGAGATAGTTTTTGGTGGATGTTATTGCTTAATAGGGGTTCCAGATACCCGAAGATGGTTCTTTTCAAATTTTATAATTATATGATTTGGAGAATGTCATTCTCTCGCTTCTACGGCTCTCTAACAGTAAGAATTGACAACGGCCACCAAAGTATATTCAATTTTTTAAACAAATTTAGGCTATTTAGAGTTAAAGTACTTTAGATCTTTAGAAATGCATAAGCTGCGCTGTAAAACTAGCCTTCGGTTATCGTGGAGGTAACTTGAGTTTTAACGAAAGGGCTTCAAGGGCCGGCTTTCCCGAAAATTTTATATTCAATTTAAAGCTTTATGGAGATGAGAATTCTCTAATTTTAGGTTTCCTTTTTCTATGAAATATAGCCTAACCTAGGAGGGAAATGCAAAAAAAATCTTCAAAAAATCGTAGGGAATTGATTAGATAACCTTCAAGAATCTTCGTACATGGTATATACTAAAAGAAGTTTATCGATCTTAATTCATAGGACCCACTCTTTCCTGTTTTCTATAGAATGAAAGGATTTAGCCCCGGTTCAGACGCCGAAACTAATAACGAATTAAACACATGAAAATTTCGACGTCTGAATCAATTAGGAACGTCAATCTCTATTTGGAACGGCTCAGCCGTTCTTCCCGCCTAGCCCGATTTGACTAAGACTTTGGTGAGACGGCTTTAATTCACGCGCCGTACGTAAATGGCGCCTAACCTAATGCATAAATTATTATAACGTAATTTTGCGAGCAGTTTGACCGAAACGAGCATTTTTCACCTTTTGGATTTAGTTCAGCTGGAATTAAGATCGGCGTCTGAATCAATTCAGTCGGTCTAAATAATTTTGGTCGAATTATAATTAGGTTCGGCTCGTTAAGCGTTCTGAGTCTCAACCGGGCCTTATTCACAACTAGGAAAATAAATCCTGAGAAGCGGCCATGTTGTGAAAAATCCCGCCCTCGCGACTAAGTAGTACATCAAGGGAGTCCATCTCAGCTACCTGGCCTTCTTTCATAACTAAAATTTCATCACAGTCTTTCACAGTGTTCAGACGATGAGCAATTATAATGACCGTGGAATTCTTCAGTTTCTCGCGCACCGTTGTCCAGATTGTTTGCTCTGTTTTAGGATCTACGGATGCTGTCGGTTCATCTAAGATGACGATCTTATTTTGCTGTAGCAACGTGCGAGCTAAGCAGATCAACTGGCGTTCACCGACACTTAGGTTCTCACCTCTCTCTAAAAGCTCGTAGTTAAGTTGACCCTCCAGGTTCTCCACCAGTTTCTTCATTTTTACTTCTTCAAGGACATTCCATAATTCATCATCTCTGTGCTTCTCAAGGGGATCGAGATTTTTCCTAAGGGTTCCACTCAAAAGCACGGGCGACTGGCTTAGAACAGAAACACTTTTTCGTGATTCTTGCAAGTGAATAGTTTTTACTGAGACGCCATCGATGACTATCTCTCCGTCCGCCTCAGGCATGCGTAAAAGAGCCGCTACAATTGACGATTTCCCATCTCCTGTGCGACCGACAATTCCTAATTTTTGTTTCTCTTGAATTTCAAAAGACAAATTTTTCAGAACTTTTGGTCCACCTGGATAGTACCTCAACGAAATATCTCTGAAGCTCACATGACCAGCACTTGGCCAGTTCTCTGGCGGAAGTGCCTTGATTTTGTACCCTGGTTCAGAGTCCAGTTTGGTGTAGGCCATGATTCGCTCGACAGACGTCATCGCATTTTCAACGTCTCCAAATTGCCGCACAGCAAACTGGCACATCTTGGCAGTGTTAATGGTGTAGACCAGGACAAGACCAGTCAATGCTATAAGAAAAGTATTGTATACATCTTAGGAAGTTTGAGCAGCGACGTTTTTGAGCGACGCACGTCAACCGGAAGTGGAGTTTTTGCACCCTTCCGCCGTGATTTTGAACAAATTCTTGGGCAAAACCTCTCTTTAAGAGTAAATTGACTCTAAGCAATACAAATATGGTAGAGTTAAGATATATTAAAAGAGAAAAACGCTCACATCCGGTTGACGTGCGTTGCAGACGGAGCGTTAAATAGGCTGATTTAGCAACAGAACGGGAACGTCAGTTGACGACTGCGCGCGCAAATCAAACAACCGGCTTGACCAATGGCAGAGCTGCAAATGCGCACCGGAAGTCGAATTTAGTCCTTTCCGCGCGCTTTCCTGTCGTCAAATGACGTTCCCGGTCTGTTGCTAAATCAGCCTGATATATACTTCTCGCCCCATGTAAGGGACCGGTCATTATTTATCGCCTGGGGGGGGGGGGGAGTATTTTTGGGGGGATCACTTGACTTTTAGGAGAACAAAATGGGGGATCAGTCGTAACTGAGAANCCCCCCCCCCCCCCCCCCCGGCGATAAATAATGACCCGTCGCTAAGGTTATCCGGATTCCAGAGTCTGGAAAATTTTAGCTCGTGGAATTCGAAATCCTAGCATCCGAAATTCAGTTCGAGAAATCCGGAATCCACCGCGTGGAATCCAGAATCCAAGACTGTCTTGGGTCACCTTTCATGGGGCGAAAACGTCTCTGAAATACGGTTGTGACAATGTAACATCGACCCAGGGGAGGTTTTGTGTCCAGCGGTTTTAGTGAAATCAAAACAAGGGTTTGTGGTGGCCATGGTTTTTCACTCTTGCGGGCTCACAAAAAGTCCCTCAGGTCGATCTTATTTTGTATTTGCCCTAAAATACAAGTCTGCTGAAGAGAAATTAACATGGCATGAGTCGGCACAGCTCGCAGTAAGTAGGAAAGGTTTCTTGCGCAACCTTTTAAGGAATAAGTACTCTGCAGTAGCGTGCGATGATCATGATGCACTCATTATCTGTAACAACTAGGTACATGTATACTGCATTTTAGTGTAAAAATGCCCTAATGTAACGTCATCGTGTCTTGTCCCGTAGAAAAGTTACGAATTTGGCTGTTATACCTAAGCGGTTTAGAAGTTATTAAACTTTCAAGTTGGGGAGGGCCTCGAAAGTCACCCTACTCTGAGTGGAGTTTTATTGTAGCCAAGTTAAGTGACTCTGACAACTAGGTTTTCTTAATATTTTCGCGGAAAAGCGTAGTTGCTTAATATGTAATGTATCCAGCTCTGATTATAAGCGCCCTGAATATTTGACCTTTAATGGTTTTGCCAAGAGTGCTCTTTGCTCAACCTAGTTGGCTCAACCTGGGTTATTGCTGGTTTTCACGTGACGTCATGGCAGCCATTTTGGTGATCAAGAACAAAAACATCTCTCTCGTCTGAGAACTAAACTCCATTTTCATGTACATTCTTTGAACACCAACATGGCCTCCATGTCACGTGGTCACAGACCGAGTCATGTACCCTTATCGAGCCAAAAACCAGATTTTGTCAGTATATTCTCTCACGCTGACTGCACTTGAGCTGTTCGGAGATGTAGAGATTTCAAAATTACTATCTGGTGTATAGGATAACGCAATAAAATTTCAGTAATGATGAACATTTGATTAAATCTAAGCTGCATTCCTTTACCTGGCTCTTGAGACAGAAGAACGAAAGCAAAAGCCACTGCAGTGATCAACACAGAACACAAGAGATCCGCTCTAACTGCCAACCAAAACGAACTTGCTTTCACCATGTAAAACGCTTCGTTGTGCAGATCTTGATGTCTACAGACGAAAAAGAATGATGATTATCACTCAAGTAAAATTTTCTTCCTTTTCATTGGCCGAGAGCCCACCACGTGACTTGCAAATAACTGCCTACAAATAATGGAGTGCTCATACGCAATGTCGTTCAAATGTGTTTGGTTGCAAATAATATTCTGCTCATGCGCAAATGAAACCAGGCTTTTATCCTTCTTGCGATCGCTCTTGCGCAAAAATGGCAGATCGCTTCGCTTCCCGAAGATATTCATTGAAAAACTTCGGTGATCGAAAGATAAAACAGTTATTGAGCTAGGTTATCGCAAAATATCGTGATTTGTCAGTGTCTCGCAGATCAATTATTTGCCTCAGCCTTCGGCTTCAACTAAATTTATCTGCTCTCCACTGACAAATCACGATACGTTGCTCAACCTCGTCCAATTATTGTTAATGATTGTAACAATAATAATAATAATAATAAATGATAATGATAAACACACATGAGACACCAGAGAAAGGAATTACACGAGAGAGACTAAACAGCGGTTTCCCAGCTTTCTTAACAATTTCGGCAATATGATGGTTCCATTTTAAGTGGCTTGAGACAGTTTACACCCAGGATCTTAGCATGCAATGGAATATCAATCAGCTTGTCATTAATAACAATAGGATCGAGTTCGAGAGACTCCTTTGTACTAAACTTTAGTGCAAGGAGATGAGGATTTGTGGTGGTTGCACTTCGTCTCATTCAGCTGGAACTTGCAGAATGAGACGAAGTTATTCAAGTTTGCCAAGTTATTCAATACATAACAAATGTCACCGGTTATTCTGTTGAAAAGATCACACTGCACACTTCTATTCCATACAGAAATAATTGCATTATCAAGGGTTCGTGAAAAGTTTGCTGAGCTGATTCCCAGGGCGGAAGATTTTCTGCGCAACTATTCTTGCAATTCTGCTCAAATTGTTTGAACACAACTGTCGCCAATTTTCCGCACAAGGCCCTACCAGAACCCTTAACGCTGCATTTGGTACGCGCTGAAAACTGTTCATTGTCACATTCATTGCTAAAGAATTTAGCGTGCATTTTGCTCTACAAATCGATCCTGTAAAAATCAACGTTCTGTTACTCTAAAAATCTTAGTCGAGAATCGTTTCACATACTCTCACACAGAATAACTCTCGACCACTAACCTTGTGAGAAATAGCTTATTTACCTAAAAAAAATATTTAAGCAGCATGATGAAAAGTAGTAGTAAGTATTTGCGACAAGTGAAAAAATATCTTACCCGTAAAATTGTATTAGAAAATCTTTTTCTTTCTTTCGAGTGCGAATAGTGCTTAAGCCCTCCATGGTCTCCGAGAAGTGCGAGAAAACGGGACTACGGCAGATTGACTCCAGCCTCTTAAGTTCCCTTGAGGTGTTCAAGTAATACCACGTCAAGTACACAAAAGCAGCTATTAAGGGTAGCGTGACAAAGACAAACCAACCGTTTATTACTGAAGGGAGAATCACTGCTGTAATTAACATCATAAAATACTGAACTACTGCCAGAAATGTGGTGGGTAAGAGCTCATCAATGCAGCCCATGTCTTTTGAACTTCTGTTGAGTATTCTTCCGGCGGGATTCGTGTCAAAAAATAATACTAGCGCTTTTAGAAGGCAGGTAACCATCCTGTTGTGGAGAGCTTGGGCTGATCTCAGTAAAACATGGAACAAAAGAAAGGCCCGGACGATACCCAAACCAAAAGCAGCGGCAACAAGGATGCCATAAATTTGAATTGTTGTGGCATCTTGTTGTTTTTTCTTGGTCATTCTGGTCAGAATGGCAAGCCAGATATTTGGCGCTACCAGCACAACTGCAGAGAAAGAGGGAAGATAAGACGAAAATGAAAGTTATTTCTGAAAAAAATAAATGGTTTTATTCTTAATGTGACTGATCAACGTTTCATTTCTCCAGCTGCCAGTAGAGGGCCTTCCTGCCATCCGGGAATTATATGTGTATAAAGGGGAGGCACGAAGCCTCTCTGCTCACTGCAACAAAAAATTTAGGACAGAATTTATACCCTCCTTTCCTTCCCTTTTGGTTCATTTTACTCTCTGGGATGGCGGGTTTGCCCTCTCCTTTGTTTGGATCGAATCATCTTGTGAAACCGGATTTTCCTAGCTTTATAATATGCTTAAATTAAATAATCGGTCACTCCTGTCGCCAAATTCATCCCAAAATAAAATTTTCATTATTTGGTATCCCAGCAAACAGAGCTTACTCAAAGCGAGACTCCGCCAACAACAATAATTGACTCCGAATAGTTATTATGTTAATGAACATGAAGCATCAGTAAATAAACCTTACTGAAAAGCTTTTGTAAAGGCTTTTAAAAATCTCTGTGGCACATTAGGAAAAGGAACAGGGGTTTACGTTTGAAGTCTAAATCTAAATATTGAATCATTGTGCTTACACAACCAAGAGCATTCAAGAAAAAGGCGAAAGGGATTCCTGCCGTGAACATGTCTGTAAGCAGTTCCTTGCAATGCTTATGTTTTTCATTTTGGAAGCCGCTTCTATCATATCATCCACAACTGGAAAAACATAATTGTAATCACTGTAATTGTAATTTGTTTACCCACGAAACACTTGTTCTTAGAACTGGTTTAATGGTCCAGATCGAATTAGAATTTGGAAATGCTTCATGGATTTTTGAGGAGATTTTTATTTGAATTCTGCTAAAACTAAAAGTTACTGACTTCATAAGAAGGGCTTAGATTCTTCTACGTTGTGGTTTGAAGGCCTCTGCAGTTTGGACTAGTAAATCAATGTATTTGTATTCAGAATCACCTCAATTTAATGCAGCTTAAAAGAGCTGTGCCACGAATTTTATCAAAAAAACTATCAGGAGTGACTTCCACCAATTGAGCGAAGTAATTTCTTGGTTAACGTTAACTGTCATAGTGCATAAGAAAGCGTCATTGGCAATACTATCAGAGTGAATTCCAGACAGCCGTGCATGATACACCCCCCTTAAGGTTCACGGAAGGTTATGGTTAGTTTCCTTACCTTGCGTCACCAGAAAAAAGAGAAGCAAGCATATAATTGCTACGGGATGCATTCCCGCTCGAATGTAGTTCCAGTACAAAGCAAATGAAATACTTCCTGTGGCCATCTCTTCTTCTGAAATCTCCAAATTTTCACCAAAGCCGCCACTGGTCAAGGCCGCGTCTTTGCTACACATGGCAGGCATGACTTTTTCTTTAACTTTTCCAGGACTCACTTTCTTTATTCTTTTGTTATTAGCTGAGACATCTTTGATAATATCTAGGATTTTTTCATCTTCTTGCAGCTCTTGGAAGGTGCCTTTTCCTGCCACAGATCCTTTGTGAAGAACAACAACCTGGTCGCCTGCTTTGAGACAAGTCTCTGCATATGTCACCAGTATTTTAATCTTGTTTCCTAGAAGCTTGCAGATACATTCTTCAAATATGTGTTCACCCACCTTAATATCCACAGCGCTTAAAGGATCATCCAAGATATACACGTCTGCATCTGCGTACACTGCGCGTGCCAGACTGACCCGCGCCCGCTGACCACCACTAAACACAACACCACGTTCTCCAACGTATGTTAAATCTCCTCGGGGAAATCTGCTGATGTCCTCTGCTAGCGAACAGGCCTTTAAAACGTCGGCATATCTTTGTGCCTCGAATGGCTCACCAAATAATATATTCTCTCTGATAGTCCCCGGGAAAACCCACGCCGATTGGGGCACGTAAGCTATAGTCCCCTGGCAAAATATTTCACCACTTGTTTTCATCACCTCACCAGCGATTGTGGCCAGGAGGGTTGACTTTCCACCCCCAACTGGACCGGTAACTACGGTAAGACTATTTTCACGAGCAAGGAAACTGATATCTCGGAGAAGAAACTTTTCACTCGAATTATCCAGTTTGCACGAGAGTCCCGAGACTGATAGTTTCGAATCTCTTTTGCCTGGTACTCCATTATGGTTTTCAACGATGCCATTTTCAATAGTCCGATGTTCTTTCTGTTCCTCTACAGGTGATTTCACCTGAGCATTTTCTTCGCTACAAAAATTCTCAGTGTATTCGGCTGAGTCAAGCCGTGACACATTTTCCCGTAAAAGGAAACGTTCAATTCTTTCAAAGGAAGCAAAGACCTCAAAGACCCCAGGAGCAGCATGTCCCATTCTGTTGACGATCATTTTGATAAGAACGTTCAAAAGAGCGAGTAGCATGAAAGCCTTAGAAGTCGAAACAAATCGGCCCGTAAGGACTAGGGTGACTATCGATAGAAACGCCGAAAGGCTTGCTGACGATTGTTCTCCACCCTGCACGAGAGATAACAGGGCACTCTTTTTAAGAATAATCCATAACTCTGAGCTGAAAATTAATGAAGAAAAACATTGTTACTATTAATAAATCTTATACATAAGATTTTGACAAAAATACACGCGAAGGCCTTAATAACAAATTTAATCATTTATTCTTAGAATCACCCTTTAGAAAACTCAATAATAGAGACTAACACCCAGACTTTCATCAGAAACCTCAAACGGCAAACCTCTAGAAGTCACTTGACCGAGCATGCAGTCGACTTTGGTCAAGTTATCAAGTTGGGTTTTCAACGCCTGGAGGTAGGTTTTCACGGAAGTCATGATAAAAGATTTACGTGACTGTTTTTTATCCTGAATTTCTGTTGTTATGTAGACCGGCCTTTTAAGTACAAGACTACAATGTAGTTTAGTTTGTCGTGAATGAGTGGAAATAGGACTTTTTGCGGCCATTTGAAAATTAAACACTACTATTGTCTGAAACTTCAATATGGCGGCCTCTTCACGTGAAATAATTCTTTCATGTTTTCGAAGTTTTCGCAATTATCCACTTCCGATCGGCCCTCAGCCTTGGTGGCTAATGTCCTACCTGAACTGCATCACATCGTACGCAGTCTCATTCAAGAATTGCTAAATGTGTACGATTAGCCTAGGTGTAGCCGCACCCTCCCCCCGACAAAGAAAAAACAAAGAGAGAAAGCTCCCTCTTTCTTCCCTCTCTCCGTTTTTCCTTTGTCGGGGGGAGGGTGTGGCTACACGAAGGCTATATACAATACCAATTACTGCCACTGCCGTAATGATATGATTGTGCGCATGCGTAAGGTACTGGCCATACCGCGGAGTTGGTACGTGTGCTTCAGTACATAAATTGGTATTATATAATACAATAAACTACCTTTCTCACCTTCTCACATCCATTACTTTCTTTTCATAGTATTCCTCCCACGCATGCGTCTTTAAGGCACGGATACCAGTCACAAGTTCGTTCATCAGTGAAATACGTCTATCTGATACCTTAGAGATTTCTAGATGAAGTCTGGCACAAACCGATGATATAAACAACACACAAGGAAGTAACATCGTTGAAAACAGAATTCCCATAAGTCCTTGCCAGCCAATAAGGTAATACACAAGAGCAGATACAACGATGATGTCGGAAAAAGAAAAGAAACAAACGCATATCCCAGTAGGAGCCGTTTCCATTCTCTGGACATCGTTTGATATCAAGTCCATGACGTTACCCGTTGTTGTTTTTAGCAGGCTTTGTTGAGTGACCAAAAGAATCTGCAAATAAATTAATTCTATCATGTGAAACTGCACTGATAAATCTTACCCGTTCTGGCACCTAACGTGATATCCAAAGTAAAAGCTGTAAAAAAATTGTCATGTTTTGATTTCAATTCAGATTATTTTTTATTAAACACAATGAACCTGCGTAAAATAGTATTTTCGGGATCAGGTATTTCACCAAAACATCATGTGCGATTCGGGAAGACGACCACCACAAAAAGCTTTATAATGATAATGAAAACGATAATTATAATGATAACAGAACTAGGAAAAAGAAGATCAGTGGAAGATGAAGAAAAAAAGAAGAAGAAGAAGTAAGAAGAAATGAAACGAAGCAACGAAAACTCTTCGTTCAATTATCACTCACCTTTCGATAAATAATTCCTTTGAGAGCACTACTCAAGCGCATGCCCAGAAGATCACATCTAAATTCAGCGTAATGTGTGGTAGCGGCAAATACTCCTGTCATTCCTATAACCAAACAGCAGCCGTATACAAGGGGTCGATCTATCTCTGCGGAGTTTAATGAGCTGAGAAGCAGCCCGAGCACTAAAGGAACTGAAACCAAGAAGATAGACTCCAGGAACCAAAAACTCAATAGAAACAGAACTTCTTTACAGGATAGCATCATTAGAAAGCATTTCCAAAGCTTTGGCTTTCGATCAGCATTGGTGCTACATCTTTGCACTTCAAAATCCCACAGTTCTTGAAGACGTTCTGTTTGGTCACGTGTTCTGTCTTCTTCGTTCAGCGGTAGGAAATCTGATTGGTTTAATGGCCGCTTGTTTCCTATTCTGAATGTGCTGTTCATCCACCAACAGGTTAGAAGCGAAAGAAAATTTGCAGAACTCGCAGGATGAGTGACCGAATGGTTATCATCATCTTCGTCTGTTTTTATCGTCTCGTAGCCTTTCTTAATCAT